TGGGCTCCGGCTGCAGGGAACGGCCCACAGCCCCTTTGCTTGCTGGAGGAGACGTGTCTGCTCTGCCTGGCCAGGGTGGCGTCTCTGCAAAGAAACCACGGGAGTGGAGGGTGGTTCCGCCAGCTTGCTGCTAAGTAGCTGCCTCCTGCTGCGCACAGCCCCAGCATTGTTCGACCTCAGGCAGATGTGTGGTGCTGGCAGTGCAACAACGGGCTAACTGTCAGCGCCCAACGCCCGGCTCGGGACGTACCAGGAGGGCCCTGCCTGCTGCTGTCCGCTGGCTGGCAGGAATTCAGCAGCTCCTCTAATGGGAGCTGCCGTGTGCTGGGGGGTACGTCCCCACTCTGTGCTAGCAGCCCCCAGAGCTGGCCAGGAGCTCTGAGAGCAGCACGTTGGGGGCCTGTTGTGCTCCCCAGAGCCAGGCGTGGGGCAGGCCAGCCCTCCAGCCTACAGCTTCTTCCCTACTGGCACCTAACAGCTTTGTTCTCTTGCCCATTCTGCAGGGGATGGCATGAACGCCTATGTCGCCTACACGGTCTCCACCCAGGTATGTCCAGGAGCCCCCGTCTCGGCTGGGATTTCACTATCCCTTCCTCCCGCAATGGCTGACGCGTAGGGCTGCTCACACTGGACCGTTCCAGCCATCTCCTTCCTAGGTCAGCCTGCTGCTGCCTTGCCTGTTGAGCCAGGATGGACCTAAACCCTCCGTCCGAGCGCTCCAAGGCTGGCTCCTCGTGCACAACGGAGGGTCCGTCCAGCTGCTGTTAATTCCCCTCGAGGCTGAGTGTCTCTAGTGAAGTGTCTGGCGCAGGCAGGATAAGGGGCTCTACTGTTGGCTGGCAGGAAGCCAGTCCCCATCTAACCAGTCTCCCTCAAGAGAGGCTCTGAAACCAAGCGAGGAATGTTTAAAACCCTTCTCCCCCTCCCCTGCCTCTCCATCACAGCTGGCAGGGCCAGAGCAAGGAGAGGGGTGAGCGGCCAGGGATGGTGGTGGGGCGTTGGTGGCGTCCCTTAGCCAGCCGTGACCAGTGGCTCGGTGACAGGGCAGCCTTAGAGGCCTCGGTTGCTGCTGCCGGATGCACAAGACTCCGGCTGTGCTCCCTGTGCTTCCCCAGCTCTTGTTGAGGGGCCGAACAGGCTAACGATGCTCCCTGCCAAACACCCCCAGCTCCCTGTCCTTTCTGGGCCTGCTGAGTGTCGCAGCAGTGCCCAAGTTCAGCATCTAGAAGCTTGGGTGTGACTCCCGGACAAGCCCAGGGGCTCGGAGGAGCAGTGAGGAGTGAGCTCGTTCGGGCACTCCTAATTCTGCTTCCCTTTTGGGCTTGTGCTGGACCTCAGAGGCTAGCTACCGGGGCTCCAGGCTGGCTAAGGTCTGTGGTTGCCACCCCAGCTGCATGACTGTCCCCCTGCCAGTTACTGTCCCTGGCCAGGCCTCCAGGCCCGTGCTGTATGACTGCCGTGCCGGTCCTCGGCCGGCTGGCTCTCAGCAGCTCCTTGGCAGAGATCAGTGGCAGGCTTGTTACAGCAGACGGAACAGTCTCTCCCCGCCTCGTTGGTCAGCTGCTTCCTGTCCTGAGGGCGGTGCCTCTTCCAGACCGAGCACGCCCACTCGACTTTAGCGCCATGGCTAATGTCACCTGCTGTAGTGACCCCGTGACACTTGCAGCTTCCTGCTCTGGCAGGGAGTTACTCTGGTGACTCCAGCTGCTTGCTGTTGCTGGGTTATCTACGCACAACCTACTGTTGGGTGGCGCTTGCTCTTTAACTAGCACGAGCCGCTCGCGCCTGGGGAGCAGTGTGGCTTTGAAAGCCTGATGCTCCAGCTCCAGCTGTAGAAGTGGAGATGCTCGTCCCCTGGCTTTGGCATGGCTGACAAGTGTGCTGGTGGTTACGTGCCCTGGGCCTGAGGAGACCAACCGATGTGCTTGCTGTATTTGTTGTTCTGACCCCCTCTGCGGCCTGTCTCATGGGCTTAGTTCCCTCTTGCTCAGCTGGGGGGGGTTAATGTGGAAAAGCTGTTGGTGTAGTAAAGACTGTCAGCTTGCCACGTTCATTCTGGCAGGGACCCTCCACCCTCGTGCATGTGAGGAGGGAAGACCGAGCGACTCCGTCCCTCCATGTGCGCACCCCGACAGCTTGGTCTTGTGGCTTCCAGTGTCGGGAGGCGTAGAAAAGCCTCTAGGGTTGGTCAGGAGTTCCTTGGCCAGACTGTCACGAACCTTAACCCCTTTACAGAGCTAGCCTGCCCTCGGCGGTCTGGTCTAAGCAGCCGTGTGGTGTCCTGAGGGGACTCTGCCGTAGCCGTGTCTCTTCACTTGTACTTGGGTACGGAGGCTCAAGGTGGCCGAAGTGAGCCGCCGTGGAGGGAGTTTCTGTGGGCGGGGGAGCGGGAGGGGAGCTGCTAGTGGAGCCTCCCGCGAAGGAGTCTTGCCTGGCTCAGCTGCGCGGTGGGTGCTGACGCTCGGCTCTCCCGCAGACCAGCCTGCCCATGTTCAGGAGCAAGAAGTTCTCGGCGAAAAGGCGCTTCAGTGACTTCCTGGGGCTGTACGAGAAGCTGTCGGAGAAGCACACGCAGAATGGCTTCATTGTCCCGCCGCCCCCGGAGAAGAGCTTAATAGGTGAGGGGCCGGGCAGAAACTGCCGCCAGGCGGTGCTGTGGGGTCTCATCTCCGCTTTCCAGGAGTGTGCGGGGGGAGGGGAATCTCTTCTGTCGGGGGCCTGAAAAATCAGACTGAGTGGTGGCTCTTGAGCCCTGGGGGGGCTTCACTCAGCCCTAGTCAGGGCTAGATGAAGTCACTGGGGGGGGCCCGTGGGGCGGAGTGCAGGGGGGGCTGCAGGTTGAGGTGGGAGGGGAGGGAGGACTCTGAGGGTGGGGCTGGGGATGAGGCGTTTGGGGTGCAGGAGGGGACTCCCGGCTAGAGCCAGGGGGGTTGGCGTGCAAGCTCAGGATGGGTTGTGGTGGGGGTTAGGGTGCAGGAGGGGGCTCAGGACTGGGCTGTGGGCACCTCCCCTTGGAGGGGGGAGCAGGTTGCTGGGCTAAAGGGCAGCCTGGGTCACAGCCGAGGGCAGGGGTGGGAGGTGGCAGCATGTGAAGCTGCCTCCCACCCCTGGTCGGACACGACTGGAAAACCTGCAGGGACTCGAGTGGCTGCAGCCCCTGGCTGGTGGGGACTTACGAAAAGACCTGGACTCTTGGAGACTCAGATTCTTTTGTGGGGCCCCCACCCCTTCCTCAACCAGCCCTGCCTGTAGTGGGATTGGCCTCGGGGCTCTTGTGCTGCAGTCCCCATGAGGGCCCCAGGGCTTCCAGCCCACAGCCAGGAGGCCGGACCCAGCCCAGGAGCCAGAGATCTTCCACCCCGTGCTGGTGCAGAGCCTACTGGCTGGCGTGATCTCACTGCCAGACCGAGACAAACCCTCCAGAGTCTCAGTGGGGAAACGTTTTTGTAAGAGCAGCTGGCTTCAAGTAACGCTCGGCCAGCCAAGGAGCAGTCAGCACCGTCTGGCCAAGTGCGCCACCGTAAACGCCTGATCCCCCGTCTGGCTTCGGAGAAGCTCTTAATGAATAACGTCTGACGAGCATAAAACGTTCATCCAGCCTGGCGAGCCCCTGGGTAAATGGCTGAGCTAGCCCCCTAGCTAGCTATGCTCCAGCCAGAGTTGGTGTCGGTGCACACAATATCGGCACTGGCTTGCTTTTCATGTCAGGATCCAGACTGATTCTCTCCTTGCAGCAGCACTGTCTCCCTTCCCAGCCTAGCTGCTGTTGGGACAGGATCCTCTTGCTGCTTCCTGGTGGAAACCGCTTTCCCCTCTCTGCTGCTACCTTGTACCTGACGCCTTTCTCCCCTGCCACTGCCGCGCTGGGGAAGTGCCCGGTGCTGGGGAAATGAAGTCGTGTCTCCTGTCTGCCATTTCAGGAATGACCAAAGTGAAAGTTGGGAAAGAAGATTCCTCCTCTGCAGAGTTCTTGGAGAAGAGACGGGCTGCTCTAGAAAGGTAGGGGCTGCCCTCGGGACAACCTGCCTCTCAGCGCAGCTACCCGCAAGCAGACATACTGGGGGGAGGCCTTAAAGGAAGGTCACTGACCTCCACTGGAGGTGGGGCGCAGGCTTGCCAAGCTCAGTGGCTGGGCTGGCGTGATTCCAGCAAAATGCAACCACATGGCTTCAGCAAACCAGGTTCCCCTCTTAACGGAGACCCTGTCTAGGCAGGCAGGTTCTGGGCACCAGTTCCGTGGAGGTTCTGTACCAGCTGATCGGGGTCTGTAAATAACCTGCTTGGGGTCAACGCCATTCGTTGGCTTGGTGCAGGAATCAGCCAGAGTTCTGTAGCCAGGCCCACGTGAGTCCAGACTGGAGGGTAACTTGTATTTGTGAGCTGAGGCCTAGATCTGCGGTTGGGACCGGCTTGTTGGATCAGCACCAGCTGTCTTGGTAGCTCAGCTGCGTTGTCCTGGTTGTGTTGTAATGTACTGTGCAGCCGTCACTTCTGGTAATACCAGAGCTAAGGGAGCAAGGTCTGGACAGATCGTTACTAAGACGCTTTTACTCTAGGTACCTGCAGAGGATCGTCAGCCATCCAGCCATGCTGCAGGACCCTGATGTGCGGGAATTCCTGGAGAAGGAAGAGGTTGGTGCAGGGTGCATGTCCTTCAGGAAGGAGCCCGACTCATTCGGTCGCTTTCACTCTGGGGCGTAACATTCAACGTCTTTCATGCGTGTCAAAGCTGGCAGCACTTCGGCCTTCCCCTGCTCTGCCCTGCTCAGGAGCTCTCAACACCAGAACGGCAGGAGTCTGAGCGCCTTTAACGTCCCCAAGACAGTGTGTGGCGGGGAGGGGGCTGAGGGTTTCAGCTGGGGGGTGAAAGATTTGGGGCAGAGTGGGGCAGGGAACAAGAGGTTTGGGGCGCAGACTGCAGTGGAGAGGGCCCCCCAAGGGGCAAGGGGAGGGGCGCACCTCCCCAGCCTGTGACCCTTACTAGCCTGCTGCACTGCTCACAGGGGTCTTGGCTCGGAGAGCAGTGTCTGGCTGCCGCTCGCTGACCTTGTGCAAGCTGTGCGGAGCCGTCCACCGGCTGGTCTGAGGCCTGTGCAGACCGTGAGGCAGGTGGTGCGGAGTTGCTGTGAGGGATGTTCTCATGAGATGCTAGAGCAGGCCTTGGCCTGAGGCCCAGCTCTCTGGGTGCCGGAGCTTCAGCTGGCTGCCCAGTGCCGGCCAGAGTCCAACAGTCTGGGGAGAACGGGCGGCAAGAGCCTCTTCTGAAAAATGGTGGCTCAGGTATGCAAATGAGGCTTGGCGATAATCCACTTAGCCTCATTTGCATATTACTGACCCTAGAAGCCTAGAGTGTAGACATAGCCCAGGAGTCCGTTTCAGATGAGCAATCCAGTCCTGGCAGGGCTTCCTGCAGATGCTGGGGTGTTAGCCTCTGAGCTGAGCCTGCCCGGTGACAGATCCCCGGCCGCCATCCCCCTGAGGCCCCAAGTACCCACTCTAGTGTAAACGGCTCAACGCTCTGGAGAGCTTTACTGCCAGACCACTAGGAGCCAAGGCAGATTGTGCCTCAATTATTGGCAGCACTCACCCGTTAGCCACTCAGCTGGAATTCGTCTTCCGGCCGAGACTCTGTTCCCAACTGGCCGTCCCAATGGCCAGCGTGGAGCCAGCCAGGTGCCTTCGCGGACTCTCGATGCCCATGGCGCTGCTGCACCACAACCTTCAGCTGCCCGAGCAGACCGCCAAAGAGGCTTTTCTCTCGACAGCTGCCCCGCGCGGTTGGTACCCAGACGCTCAG